TGCGGGCCGCGCAGGTCCTTATCGCAGCGCCCAGCACATAAGGATGTCGGCTGTGCCAACCGACGCACTTCCGGCACTCCCTCAGAGTCGCGCCATGCGGGCCCCATGCCTCTGTTGACTGCTGCTTCCGCCTGCCCCCGTCCCCCTGCAGCGCGACCTGGGCAAGCGGCTGGCCCAGCTGTCCCGCGCCATCCAGCAGGTGGCCGCCGGCGCCAAGGAGCCCGCGGCGACCGACGCCTCCCCACCCGCCGCCGACGGCGCGCCTGGGGACCAAGCAGCCTCCGAGGCCGCGGCGCAGCAGGATGCAGCCCTCCAGAGGGCGCTGCAGGAGGCGGCGGAGCGCATTCGCGACTTCCAGCGCCGCGCAGAGCACCAGGCGCAAGAGGCGCAGCTCGAGGCGGCGGTGGCGCCGCTTCGCGACCAACACGCCGCGGAGCAAGCTCGCCTTACGCAGCAGCTTGCCGGCGCCGAGGCGGAGCGCAGCGCCCTGGCGCAGCGTGTGGCGGCGCTGGAGGCTGCGCAGCGGGCCGCGGCAGACCAGGGGGCGGCCTGGCAGCAGCGCGCCGTGGCGGCAGAGGGCGCGCTTGAGGCTGCGGCGCAGCAGCACGAGGCGGCAGCGGGCGAGCTTCGAGGCGAGCTGGCGGCGGCGCAGGAGCGGAGCCGGGGGCTGGAGGCTGAGCTGGCGGCAGCACAGGAAGCTGGCACCACACAGGCGGACAGCCTGGTGCAGGCGCTAGGGGAGCAGCGGGCGGCGGCCGAGCGTGCCGCCGCAGAGCTTGCGCAGGCGGCGGCGGCATGGCAGGAAGAAAGAGCGGCGCTGGGCGCGGCCCACGACCAGGAGAAGGCAGCCTTGGAGGGCGAGATGGCTGCACTGCGTGTGGAGTGTTCCGAGGAGCGGCAGGCGGCGGCGGTGGCAGCAGCGAGGGCCGTCGCCGGCGAGCTTCGTGCCGCCGACCTTCAGCTGGAGGTGCAGCGGCTGGCGGCTGAGCTTACGGCTGCGCGGCAGGAGCAGCAGGGGCTGGAGGCCGCGGTGCAAGCTGCCAAGGAGCAAGGGGCAGATCTGAGCGCGCGGCTGCGTGCGGCAGAGGAGGCGGCGGCGGGCGCGCAGCGGCACGCAGAGGCGGTACAGGCTGACCTGGCGGCGGCCGCCAGGCAGCTGCGGGAGCGGGGGGCGCAGCTGGCAGAGGCGGAGGAGCAGCGCAGGTGAGCGGGATTGAGCGTGCTGCTCACGGCTGAACACATGGCACACTTGAAGGCAGGCTGCAGGCGCACCCCTGCCTGCTCCTCCTGCTGCATCTGTTGACCGCCGCCCTGCACACCGCTCCTGCCACTGCTGCAGGCAGTCGGTCGAGCGGCTGGAGCGGGAGCTTGCTGAGGCCAGGGCCGACCATGCCGCCACCCGCAGCACGCTCTACACCACCAAGCAGGCGGCGGCGGAGCAGCAGCGGCAGCGTGCGGCGGCCGAGGCGCGGCAGCAGCAGCTGGGCGAGGAGCTGGCCTCCCAGAAGCTGCAGGCGGGGGTGCTGAGCCGCCAGCTGGACGAGCAGCAGGCGGCGGCGGTGGCAGCAGCCAAAGCGGCCGCGGCGCAGCAGGGCGCGGCTGCGGCGGCCGCGGCGGAGCTGCGAGGGCAGCTGTCAGAGGCGCGGAGGGCGGCGGAGGCTGCTCTGCAGGAGGTGGCAGCTGCGCGGCTGGGGTGTGAGGCCGAGGTGCAGCTGTTGCACAAACAGCAGGCAGAGGCGTTGGCGGCGGCAGCAGCAGATGCCGCGCAGCGGCTGGGCCGGCAGCAGAACGCGGCTGCAGCTGCGCTGGCAGCTCGCGAGGCGCAGCTGCAGCAGCAGCTGGCTGCGGCCGCCGCGGAGCGGCAGCAGGAGGGGCAGCAGCTGCGTCAGGCGGCGGCGACGGCGGCGATGGAGGCACAGGCGCGCTGGGGTGCGCTGTGCTGCCAGCTGGCCTCCAAGCTGACGCAGCTCGCAGACAACCTGAGCTTGGGTGGGCCTCAGGTGCAGCTGAGGCTGGAAGATGCGGTGCTGGAGCCCTTGACAGCCGGCAGCCATGACCTGAGGCAGGAAGAGGCTGCTGACAGCACCAGCCCGCCCCAGGGTACCACTAGCACCACCATCAGCACCATCAGCAGCAGCGGTGGGTCAGACGAGGCGGCGCCGCCGCCGCCGCCGCCTGCAGCAATGGCAGAGGTGCATGCGGCGCTGCTGCGGCTGTACGGCGCAGCACTGGACCTGCGCTGTCGCCACGCCGCCGCCCAGGCGCATCTGGCCGGGGTGCAGGAGGCGGCTGACGGCCTGCGGAGGCAGGCGGCGGCCGAGGCCCAGGGCTGGCAGCAGCGGCTGGAGCGGGAGCTTCGGCAGCAGGAGGTGGCCTGGGACCTGCGCTGCTCGGAGCGGGCGGCGGCGGTGGAGCAGGAGTGGCGAGCCAGGCTGGCAGCCAGCGAGGATCGGCTTCAGGGTGAACTCGCGGGGCTGACCAGCACCCTGGATGCAGCACAGGCCAACCGGCAGGGCCTTGAGGAGCAGTGCGCTGCGCTGGCGGCAGAGCTCCTCGCCGCACAGGCTGCGGCTGCGGTGGGGCTGGAGGCCGCCGCGGCGCGCGCCGCGGCCGCGGCTGCCGCCGCGGCGGAGGAGGCCGCCGAGGCGGCCGCGCGTGCGGCGGAGCGGCAGGCCGCCGCCGAGGCAGCGCTGCGACAGGAGATGCGGGGCGCGTTGAGTCGGCTCGGCGAGCAGCACGCCGCAACGCTGGCGGCCGCGGCGGAGCAGCACCGGCGGCAGCTGGAAGAGGGTCGCCTCCTGGCGGAGCAGGCTGCTCGGGTGCACCAGGCGGAGCTGCGGCGGGTGGAGGAGGCCTGGCAGCTGAGGTGGGCGGGCGAGGCGGCCCGCCTGCAGCGCCTGCACGGCGACGAGCTGGCGGCGGCGGCCATCAGGCACCGGCAGGCTACCGGGGAGCAGGAGCAGCGGCACGGCGTGGAGGTGGGGCGTCTGCGGGACGCCATCGCGTCTCTGGAGAGGAGCGAGCGCCAGCTGCTGAAGGCCAGGGCCGTGCTGGAGGGGCGGGTGGCGGAGCTGGAGGCGGCGGCCGCCGCCACCGCCGCTGCGGCGGGGGCCGAGGCCGAGGCCGCGCGCATGGCGGCGACCGCCGCCGCGGCCGCCACGGTCTCCGCGCTGCAGCAGCAGGTGAGGGGGCCACGCATTAGTCCCGTACAGCAGTCGTCATTGTGTGGCAGAGCGGGCAGGGCGCGGTGGGAATGGCAGCGCTGCTGCAAGTTTTCCTTTGCCTGCTGGCAGTGGCGTGATAGCCTGTTGGGGCTGCTGTGCCTGCTGTGCCCGCTGTGCCCGGCAGGTCAAGGAGTTGCTGGACGAGAAGGGCGGCCTGCTGGACCAGGTGGCGGTGCTGCAAGACCGGCTGGGCAGGTGCGCGCCATGCGGCGGTTGGGTGGCCACACTGCGTGGCCTCGGCAAGCGGCACCGGCGCTCATCAGCCAGACGCCCAACTACCACCTCCCCTCGACCATCACACTCGGCCATCAGCACCACACCCATCTACCTACCGCCCCACCTCACCCATCATTCTGCATGATGCCCTGCAGGGAGCCGCGGCCGGCCGACCTGGCTGCCATCGCAGAGCTGGAGGCGCAGGCGGCGTCCCTGCGGCAGCAGCTGGGCTCCCTCGAGCAGCGCCACCAGCGGCTGCGTCAGGAGCTGCTGCTGCGGGAGGATGTGTACAACAAGACGTTTGCTGCTGGTGGTGCGGCGGCCAAGATGAGCGTGGGTGGGGCTGCAGCCGCGAGTGGGGGCCTGGTGGACTGGATGCTCAGGGCGGCCCCAGGGCCCCATGGCAGCGGCGCGGCAGGAGGCGGCACGCACCTGCCCGCGCTCGGCGGCAGGCGCAGCAGCGGCGGCAGGGGGCCGCGGCCGTGACGTGGTCGGGTGATGGAGTTTTGTATTGACTTTGAACCGGATGCTTGTGGCTTGGTCATAACGATTTCCACGTTGTGGGGGCAGGCCTTCGCCTTCCTGTCGCTGTGTGGCGGCGGCACAGGTGGCGGTGATTCAGCTTTTGAAGAAGCTTCATGCTTGCGACCCCGCCGTAACGGAAATAGAACTACGGCCTTCTGGCTGATCGTGGTGTGCGGGAAGGGAGGCCTGGGGCCAACAATGCAGCGCGTGCATGGAGTTGGGCCGTCAGTGGCGGCTGCGGTGCTCTCGCATCGCAGGCCATCAACGGCCGCTCGTGTGGGACCAAGGAGGTCAGCGGCACGCCAACGAGCGGCTGTAGACGATACACTCATCGCGGCGCCTCCCGAGGGCGAAGAGAGCCCCCCGTGGGATGATGAGCAGCATTTGAACCTCGCGCCGGCGAGGGGAGCGGAGCAGCAGCAGCCCGCGCCGGTTAGGGTGGGTCTGCCGCCGCTCCCGCCTGCCGCCGCCGCCGCCGCTGGCAGACTCTCCTTCCGGCCAGGTCGAAGCTGTTTGCTTACCCACCAGCCCGCCCCGCGCTCGTCTCACAGGTGGAGGACCTAGCACCTGAGCACTGGCGCAAGCATCTAGACACGCTAAAGCCTGGCGAGCAGGCGGCCGTCCGCAGGTGCGATAACTCTGCCAGGCGGCGGCGGCAGAGTGGGAGGAGAGCACCGCCGGCAGCACCCATCTCCTGCCGCTGTCCCGAAGTGCACGCCTCCCTGGTTGGCTGTCCGCGTGCGCCGCCAAGCCCTGTGCGAGTGGCGCGGCTACAGCTTAGCCGTCGCCTGGCGCCTGCTCCGCTGCCGCAGGTATGTCGGCGTCGTAGCGCGCATCAACGGCCTGCGGCAGGTAATGGCGCGCCTGAGCGACGAGCAGCTGGCAGCCAAGACGGGCGAGCTGCGGCAGCGGCTGCAAGACTGGGAGCGCAGCTTGGACGGCGGCGGCGACGGCGGCGGCGGCGGTGGCAGCGCCCTGCGCTGGCCCTTGAGCAGGCGGCAGCGGAGGCAGCCGCCACTGCTGGGCGGCATGCCGGAGGATGTGGTGGTGGAGGGGTTTGCGGTGGTGCGGGAGGCGGCGCACCGGGTGCTGGGCATGCGGCACTATGATGTGCAGCTGGTGAGCGGGATCAGGGAGCTGCATGGCAGTCGCCGTTGTGGCCGAGTGTGGGTGTGTGGGGCCGCCACGCCTGCATGGGATGGGGCAGTGTGGGCAGCGACGCGCACGGCAAGGCAGGCCGGCTGCTTGGCCCCGCAGCGGCTGCCGCGCCCGCCCGCCCGCCTGCCCGCTCCTGCCGGCGAGGACGCTCCGCTCCCGCCGACGCTGCGTGCTCTGCTGAGTGCTGATGTTTTACCTACCCCACGCCCACCCGCGTCGCCTCCCGGCCCCGCCCCCTTGCCTTTCCAGATCGGCGGGCTGGCGCTGCACGAGGGGCAGGTGGCTGAGATGAAGACGGGAGAGGGGAAGACGCTGGTGGCCACGCTGCCCGCATACATCAACGCGCTCACGGGTGGGGTGGGGAGCGCGGTGGCTGGGTGGGGTGGAGAGAGTGGTGGCTGGTTAAGGCGGCCGACTGGCGGGCCGCCAGGCCACCACCCGGTGCCTTGCCACCACGCTGAGCGGACCGTTGGGAGGAGGGCCGTGTGGCGGGCTGCAGGGTGCGTGGGTGTGGCAGCGGGCTACTGGAAGGCTTGGAGGGCTGGTGCAGTGTGATGGCGCATGAAGCGCGTGCTGCCGCCCCCGCGTTGCCGGTGTGTGTGCCTGCAGGGCGCGGCGTGCATGTTGTTACGGTGAACGCCTACCTGGCGCGTCGGGATGCAGACTGGTGGGCTGCCCGCGCGTGCCGCTGCCCCCTCTCTTGCCGCTGCCACCGCGCGGGCCGCCGGCTGCTCCTGCTGTGGTTGGGGTCGCCTGCCGGTCTCCGTACCTGCAACACCTCTCGCCTGCCGTGCGCCTGCCGGTGGCTCGGGGGCAAAGGTTGCCTGCTCCTGCCGCGTCTCGGGCTGCAGGATAGGCAAGGTGTTTTCCTTCCTGGGACTGACGGTGGGGGTGGTGACAGAGACGAGCACCACCGCAGAAAAGGCGCAGCACCTGCAGCGGGACATCACGTACATCACAGGTGGGCATCTGTACTGCTTGTACTGTTTGTACTGCCAGCATGTACTGCCTGGTTGGCCCGGCAGCCGGCTGTCGAGCCCGAGGCGAGCCGCGCCGCACGGGATGCCCGCGCGGCAGCCTGCGCCGGCCTCAGCCAGCTGTGTGCCAGCCACCGCGGCTGTCGCTCCGGTGACGGTGCCCGCCACGCCTCACCTCCCTGTGTCTAGTACCACCCCTGGTGCAGCCCGGGACCTTGCCTTCACCTACCTTTATGACAATACCGCCACCTCTCCCGGCTGGATAGTAAGCTCCCTCCCTTCAGCACGCAGCCGTTCCGCAGCGCAGCGTCGCCCGCCTGCCTCCTGCACCAGCAGCGCAGCCCGCCTCGCCTGCCTGCCTGCCCCACCAACCCCCTCCCTTGCCCCCTCGCCCGCTGCGCCCCTCCCTTTCTCGCAGGCCATCCGCCGCCCACTGCACTACGCTATCGTGGATGAGGTGGACTCCATTCTCATCGGTGCGCGCCCCACAGCGCCTGCTCCTGTGTGGACACATACCGTGCTCGTGTGTGTATGCACATTGTAGCTACACTTCCCGCAACATCCTTCCCAACCCCTCCCTCCCCTGCCCGCCTCCTCAATCGAACTGCAGACGAGGCGGCCAACCCTTTCATCATCTCCGCGCCCGACCCAGACGCCTCCTCGCAGGCCGCCAAGTTTTGGGGAGCCACCGAGGCGCGCCTGCCGCCGCCGCCTGTTTGTGTTCTTTCTGCTTTGGTGTCGCCCGCCTGCCCCGGCAGCGCGCTGTGCGCCTGCCTTCTGGGCCCTGCTCCCGCTCCCCAGCGGCAGGGCTGGCTGGGATGCCTGACCTGTGCGGCCCGAGGCTGCGCAGGCCCCAACAGGCCACGCGCCTCCACCCCTCCCACTGCCTGCCTCCCTCAGCCTGCCGCCCCGTCCTGGTGTCGAGTGCAGGTGATGGAGAAGCTGTGGCAGGTGGAGGTGCCTGAGGGCTCAGACGGCTGGGGGGAGGCGGAGTGGGCATCTCTGGAGGCGCGAGGAGACGTCGCTGTGCATACAAAGTATCATCAGGCATCGCTGACGCACCGGGGCATGCTGGCGGCCGTGCGGCTGCTGGGTGGGTTGGGCAGGCCGGAGAGGGCGCGCGGGCCGGCAGCTGGCGGTGGCGCTGCTGGGTGGCTTGGGCAGGCCGGAGAGGGCGCGCGGGCCGGCAGCTGGCGGCGGCGCTGCTGGGATGGGGGACCCCCGGAAGCGGGCCGTGCATGGGACTGGGGTGGGTGTGCAGGGTAGCTGTGCAGGTAGCTGACCCGCTGCTGCTGCCTCGGTACCCTCCCTGCCCACCTGCCTGCCTGCTGTCCCGCCTGCAGTGGAGCGGGGCCTGGTGCGGCTGGCCACTGCGGGTGATGGCCGGCTGGCGGTGGTACTGCAGAGCCCCGCCAAGAACTCCGCCGGCGACGTGCAGCTGGCCATCACGACGGTACCGCTCCCCGCCGACGGCGGCGACGGCGGCCGCGGCCGCGGCCGCGGCAGCGGCAGCATCAACGGCGGCATGAGTGGCACCGAGGAGGTGTGGGTGGCTGGCGGCAGCGAGGCGGTGGTGCTCGCTGAGCTGGCCAAGCGAGGGCTGGCCCCGCTGCCGGCTCCACCCGACGACGCCCAGCTGCGCGCCGCAGTACCCGCAGCGCTGTGGAACGGGGAGGCGGTGAGCGGGCTGCTTCGGCGCGCGTGCGCTGCGGGTGCAACGGGGCGTGGGGCGTGTGCTGTGCGAGGCATCCATCCTGCCAACCAAGTGTGGTGCGCCCGAATCGCGCTGGGGTGCCCGCTGAGCTCCCCCCCGCCGCCAGCCTGCCCCGTGCAGTCCTGGGGCGTCTTCCTGACCCTGGCTGCCAAGGCCAGGTGGTGTTACACCAAAGATGTTCACTACCTTGTGCGCAACAATAAGGTGGGCCCCCTTGGCACACGCGCGCCGCGCTGGCTTGCCTGCGCTTGGGGGCGGCCATTCCGGCTTCAGCCACCAAGAGGACGTGGAGTGCGGTGGTGTGGGCAGGCCAGGGAAGACAGCAGGCGCAGGGAGACCACAGGGATAGCGCGGCGCAGCAGGCGAAAACCGGTTAATACCGACCGTCCTCCGTGAAGCATGCCCTACGCTGACAGCCCCACCCTGCCTGCCTGCCTCGCCTGCCCGCCTGCCTGCCCGCCGCGGCTGCCCGGCGGCTGCAGGTGGTGCTGGTGGATGTGCCCACGGGGCGGGAGCGGGCGAAGAGCGTGTGGCAGGAGGGCCTGCATCAGGTGCAGTACAGTACAGTGCAGTACAGTGTGGTACCGCTGGGCCGGCTGCGGGTGGCGCGCCCGCCGGGTGGAGCGCCGCAGCGCACGCAGCGTGTGCGGCCGCCACTGGTGGCAGCGCCGGCAGCGGCAGCGGGGGGCTGCGCTTGGGTGGCCGGGCGGGCGCCGCACATGAGAGCTGCCCGACATGTACCGCACACATGTACCGCAGGCTGTGGAGGCCAAGGAGGGCCTGCCCGTGACTGCCGAGCAGCGCACCTCCTCCTCCATCTCCTACCAGGCCCTGTTTGCCTACTATGCCAAGCTGGCGGGAATGACGGTGGGCTGGGGGTGGGGAGCGGCGGTGCGGCAGCTCTGGCGGGGTTTGGTGCCTGCGCTCCATAGTGCACAGCGACAGCTCCCTGGGGGTTTTGCACAACCTGTTGCACCAGGCAATTGTGTCACTTGTGCCGCACGCATGGTACCGCAGGGTACCGCCGTCACCGAGATGATGGAGCTGAACGAGTCGTACCGCCTGAATGTGGTGCGCGTACCGCCGCACCGCCCCAGCGCCCGCATCGACCGCCCCATGCGCTGCTTCTACTTTGAGAAGGTGGGCTGGGCGGAGCACCTGCAGCAGCCAAGCGTGCAGCCTGGCCGGCAGAGGCTGTGTTTGGCAGCGGGGTGGGCAGTGGCGTGGTGGTGCTGGTGTGGCTGGGCCCTGGCGGGTGCAGAAAGGGAGCTCTCACGCCTGCCTGCCACCCTGCCTTCCCAGACGGGGGCATTCCCTCATCAGCCCACACGCCTGCAGCCTGCAGCCTGCCCTCATCCCTCCTCAGAGCCGGCTGCCTTCTGCTTGTCCCTGCTGGCGCAGGGGCGGGACTCTGCGGTGTGGGGCCTTCTCAGGGATGCCCGCGAGCGGGGGCAGCCCGTGCTGATCGGCACCGGCAGCGTGGAAGAAAGCGAGCGGCTGCTGAAGGTGCTGGCGCCCCACCTCAGGTGCGTGCCAGGCGGTGGGGCAGGCATGCGGCCGGCTGCCTGGAGCCTGCTGCCTGGGGCCTGCGGCCTGGAGCCGGCCTGGAGCCTGCCTGCAGCCTCAGCGGCCTGGGGCGGACTGGAGCCTCAGCTGCCTGGAGCCTGCCTTGCTTTGTTTGGATTCTTTGGGAGCAGGCGGGTGGCGGTCCCCCCTTGTCGGCCTTGCCCCGACTGAGGCGCTGGGGACCAGCTTTGGTGCCTGGCACACACCCTCACGGCGGCCGCCGCCGCCTGCTCCCCTGTGCCGCAGCGGCGCGTTCCGTGGCGCTCGCATCGACCTGCTCAACGCG